TTCACTTTAGTGAGCTGTAAGACTAAGTACAGCAGTATCTCTTCTGAGCAGTGTTTCAACAAGTGTACATATTTATGGAATCCAGTTATTGTGGATAATAATCCACAGTTTACGTGTTCATCTTGTCTATTCTTTTTTGGATATGGCTTCCCAAGTAAGGATTTTCTTTTCATGTACTTAAACATGTTTCAGTTTGGAAGTCCACCCCTAGTTAATGCTTTTGTATTTCAATTATAAATTTCCAGTAGAGAGAATGTGAGTATATTTTCATTATTTTTTCCTGAGAATTTTGTCCTTCCTCTGAGGTTGGTCTTTCTCCCCATATGAAGCAGTGTGTGGTAGGTATGTGCAGAAATTGAGAACTGCATTGTGAAGTAGTGTAGGTTCAAGTTATTTGCACTAAAAAAAGCATACACTTGGTTCTCTTGTCTTTATGGTACTCTTACCAACCATGTCATATAGTAAAAGCTTTATTGTTGTTAAGTTTGGAGGTAGTCTGAATTTGACTTGACATCTAATTATTTGTTAATTTGAATTGTCTTACTAATTTAATACTCTTGACAATGACACCTTTCTGGAAAGGGAATGCTATGACAGTATTTCTGGCACCAGGCTAGCAGCTCCCTTAGGCAGTAAGGCCATGGAGGGTAATCCAACACAACTGCAGAAAGGGAATAGCTTGCACCTTTTATTTCCAAGGAGGAAATTGCCATGGCAGAATTTTATGGAAATTTTCTTCATGATTAAGTAAGTGGCCAAAGTAGCAGATGCTCAAGAAGGTGGCAAGTTTTAGTTTGGTTCAAAAACTTGTCATAGCACTGCAAGGCAAACGCCACTGTTCTGCTCAGAAATGATGCTGAAACTGAGGGACACATTGCTGCTTGAAAATAATATTGAGCTGTAACCACAGCATAGTCATGAGAGCCCAGGTTCTGGAGATAGGTTTGGAAAAGTGATTGTTTTCCATAGATGGAGTTCTTTATTAAACCATGCCTTCCCTTGCAGGTGTAGTAAAATACTGTTTTTTAATTGTTTTTGGTAAGAGTAGGGCAAGACCAGTTTTGTCAGATGAGTCTGTTATGGCTGAATTTCAATGAAGGTGTATGATCACCAGTTGGAATACACTACTTCCCTTGCCCCAAACATAGTGGAACACAAATGCTGTACTGTGTGATGAAAATTCCTCCACTGTTCACACCATGTAGGTCTGAATTTGAAATTAGCACGTCAGTCAGTTCATTGCTTTGCTGTGATGCAAACTTCTCTTGTTAGTCCCTCTCCTTATTTTGCGTATGTCAAACTAAAACTCTTCCTGAAGTGGCAGCTTCAGGATTAAGTTAGTGGGCAGGTTTTGGCTCAGTTAGGGCAATTATTGTTCAGTCATATTGCACGTTTAAACCCAAGGGCTGGCATGCTCAACGTTTAGCTCTAGCTTAAATTAGGGCTATTTTTGTTCAGCAAAGTGAATGTTTATGTATTGACCATTATAAAAGAAAGCTAGTAAGCTAGCTGAGCATAGTGTATTGAGAGATGCTGTTCTTCAGGTTGACTTTTACTGAGATAACATAGAAGGGAGAAGAGGACGAAAAGCATATGTATGTACTTGATACCAGGTCATTGCACTGTTATACCTCAATTGAGCAGTGTTGTGCCTTTTTTCCTTTCTAGCAATGCCGTGTGGGCAGCACTGATGTGTGTGCCTGCTTCTGATAGGAGTAAAGATTTGGATGTGAGAAAGCAGGAAAGATGTTGCTCTGTAAAATCTATTGGAAGATTGATGCTTTGCAAACTCAGCCACAACAGAAATCTTGAGTCTGTAAAATACTTCTCTCCTACCTTATTTATATTGATGTGACATACAAGTGATACTGGTGTGACTGACTGTAAATCTGTCTAGATATAAGAAGTGCTATCAACAGTTCAGCATTTCAGTTGTGCAGCATGGCAGTGCTCCATAACGGAAGTGCACTGGCATGTTTGTGATGTGGATAGTGGGAAGTGAGTGGCCAAAGATAAGAGGTAGACTTAGATATAACTTTGAGCAAATTCCTGCTTGTTTGGCTCAGTAATGTTCTGCACTTGACAGTGCTGCATGAGAAAAAATACTGCTTTAGCATTTTCTAAATTAACATGTTTGCAGTGGGGCAAGAAAATACCTCTTTCCAGCCAGCTGTCTTAAATTGTTCTCTTAACTTTAACTAAGACTGTGCTGTCTGTCTTTCAACGTTTCCATAAATGTGATTCAACAATGAACTTTCATTTGTGGATTTTTTGATGTACGCTTCTACGTGCATTTTGTATGAGCTTATCCAATACTGGATGTGCTATTCCTCCTCGCTTATGCACTACATAGACCTGTTAACCAGTTCAGTTTGTGTCCTGGGTAGTTAGATTACTCGCTAAAGACCTTTAATAAGTACACATTACAGCATACATTAGAGGAGTAGAAATGTAATCCAGATATGCCAGGTAGGGGGAGCGCTTTTTTCCCCCTTTTCCTCTTTGACTTAGAGCAGTTATGCACAATAATGTATGCAGAAAACCTTGAAGCTGAACATGACACTGGAGTTATTGTATTTCTCAGCTTCCTTTACCACCTGCTGCCCCAGTCCTCTTTCCTCTGATCTTCTGTAATTTTATCTCAGTATTGCATTCAGGATCTCCTAGTAGATTGTTTAGTGGACAAAAACCCTGACACTATCAGCAGCACAGGTAAAGGCTGTAGCCTCGGTGTGGTTGTTAAATGAGAGAATTATTTTTTCATGGTTGGTTTAAAAGTTTGAAAGGTTACATTTTGATGTTTCTCCAGCAGCTTACTTATTTTGACTTAATCTTCTTGGTTTTACTATTTTTGTACTTGCCTAAATACTGGGAAAAAATATTCTAAAGGCTCTGAATCCAGTGCTTGGAGCACTTTTGTTTTTATTTGCAGGTAACTTTGAGGATGATGTGGGACGTCTGTTCCACAGCAGAAACACCGCAAATTTCAAGGCAGTAGGTCTGTGCCCTAAATGTACAGTTACCTTCAACATAAATGCAGGATTGTGTGTTTCAGTTCTAGGTTCAAGATTTTTAAGCCCTTTCTCTCAAAATAGAGGAATATGAAGGTGTAGTATGTGGGAGTCTGCTGACCTGGGGCAATCACAGATTTAAAGCCATGGGAAAAACCTTGTTGGTTAGGGCGAGTAAAAGTTAAGTGCTGTTGCACCATGGAAGTTCCTATGTTAATAGAGATATTTCATGTAAGGTTATGTTTCTAGTTCTCTTTTATGATTGGTTGCTTGTGTTACATATATTGTTATATTCCCCCCATTTCAGGATCTTCTGAGGTTATCCCCATACCGTACATGGCTTATGTTCCTTTGTTACTTTATGTGTTACTTAAGTTTTTTATTTTCAGGCAACCGAGTCGTACCTGTCCCTGTTTTTATTTTGTCACACTCCTGACTGATCTGGTCCTGGGGTCACATGGAGATGAACACGACAATAATGTTTAAATTGTGCTTATTTATTTTTCTGGCTAGCAGCCCTTATTAACTTACCCTTGCCTCTTTTTAATTTACAGTTCTCCCTTCAGAGATAGACTAGTCATTGTTTCTGCACAGTAGCATTTTTTCCCCTGCAGCACTAATTTGATTGCAAGATCTCCTTTAGTCTCCATCTAACTTTGTTCCAAGCCTCTGTAAATGTTATGTGTGTTTACAGCCTGCCTTTGGGTCTCAGCATCCCTCTCTGAAGTACCATACAAAGGCACTGCATACATTTTCAGTTGAATTTTAGTCAGTGTCATGAGTTTGATTTAGGCAATACTAAAGGTGTGTATAATCGAATGCTGTTGATTGCAGTAGCTCCTGGAGATTTTTAGGTCTTGTTATTAAAACTCTCTAACCTTTTAATGCTTGATGCATTTGCTCTCCGTGTTTTCTGGTTGGAGGAGAACAAAGTTCTCTCAGGCAGGAATGGGCTGATGCAGAGGCTATGGATACACTGGCACATGCTGCTAGAGGTTACTTTCATGTGGAATAGCAGCAGTCATAGATACAGTTTTGCTTCCATTGCAAAGTTATATAAAAGTTTGCAGACACAAATAGAGGACTTGGTCTTTAATAAAGGGAAAAATAAAATGTCCTGGTATAGGAAGCTGTGCCAGAAAAGAAACTTCCTCCCATCTATCGGAATCTGACACGGATCTTTTCATTCATTCTTTTACTTGGCTTTAGGCACACCTCCCAGTGGTTGTCAGGCAACCATAATAATGTCGCTGAACATGCAGGCTGGCTAATTGGATTGTCCCCTTCTTGGGTTTTTTTGTTTAAATGGTTTTGGTCATTTTTAGTAAGGCAACTACATGCAAGTTGCTTTTTTGGCTGATGTGATAAACCAAGGGCTTTTAAGAGTTCTGTGACATGTCAAGGACAAAATTTTGCCTCTGTCACTACAGAAACCTTGCTAAATTCTGTTTTAATTCAACATATTAGCTACTTGTATTCCAAACAGTCTATTCTAATGAGAATTTTTGTTTGAAAGGCAAACATGAATGGTGCTGAGCAGGCAGGTCAGCAGCACCACAAAAAAAACTAATGTTCTGATAGTCTGAGAATTTCCTGCACCTTGTAACCTGTGTCATGAGGGTAGTTTTGCTACCAAAAAATGGGTTCAGGAAGTTAGCAATGCTTTAGCGTAGGGTGAGATGCCACAGAAGTGAAATATATAATACAGATGGCAAGGGATTTGCTCTTTGTTACACTCATTGGAAAATACATTTAATGTGCTGTTCAGGAGGGTCTGTTTCTCTTTGTCAGCTTAACGTGAGTGAACTCTTACAAATGGTGTTGAATTTGAGTAACTGGTAGTTTCCCTGACTGTACTGAGCATATAAACTAAAAATGCATATGATTTGTATTTACATAATCAAACTTCACCTTATATTAATTACTGTGAGGCAACTTAATGTGGATTACTCACTTGTTTCCTGTATTTTTTTTCTTATCTCATTTTAGATTCACCAAATTGAAGAGCCTTAACCTTTCGAATAATAATTTAGGGGACTTCCCACTGGCAGTCTGCAGTATCCCAACCCTGACTGAACTCAACGTGTCCTGCAATGCCCTCAGAAGCATTCCAGCAGTTGTAGGCGAAATGCACAAGCAAGTACTTTTTTAGAACTTTCACATACGCAGCCTGACAATAACAAAGGCAACAAGCGGTTTCACGACTGTACATACTCCTGCTATGAGAAACAGTTTAAACTTACTGGGTTCTGTCAGAGCAGACCGGCTTGTAGATCCATATGGAAGCAATTGTGGATGGAGGGAAAGCACACTTCGTGCCTCAGAGCTCTTCCAGTCTCCAGTGTTTGACACAAGGGTCACCTTCACAGTGAAGAAAATCTTTTAACCCTTTTTGCTGATGTTCTTCAGCTGTCATATGAATTGTAGTTCTGGAGATAGAACCTACACTTTATAGTTGACAAAACTTTTAATTATTTGGTGGATATCTTCTGTAGCAGATGTTACAGTGTTACTCATTAACATTTTTATTTCTGCTGCCCTTTTGTATATTGTATGTCACTGTAACTGCAGCAGATTAATGTGTTTATAGGAAGGAAATGTGATTTAACAGGTCACTCATTTTCTTCACTCTCCTTTCCCCTCATCTAATAGCTTGCAGACATTTTTGCTGGATGGGAACTTCCTCCAGTCCCTTCCTGATGAATTGGAGCATATGCATCAACTCAGCTATGTGAGTCTGTCCTTCAATGAGTTCACTGACATTCCTGGAGTGCTAGAGAAGCTGACTGCCATGGATAAGCTCTGTATGTCAGGAAACTGCATGGATACCCTGAACCTACAGGTGTTAAAAAGGATGCCTCATATTAAGCATGTGGATCTGAGGTAGGTATTCGGAAAAAAAGGAAAAATAAGTGAGCCTAAGTTATTTGTGTTGAAATGGCTTCTCCTTGGCTGTCAGAATTGCCTCTGGGTATAAATCTCTTGTGTTTGTCCACTGAACCATGTTTCTGGTGGTGTTATGTAACTCCCAGCACTTGCTGTGATTTAGCACTCTTCTTTGAGGAAGTTGGAGCATTTAGGGGGATCAATAGGTAGAAAAATGAGTTTTAGGGGAAATTAATGTTTGCACCAAAGGATCAAACAAAATGGACCCTGGGACTCTTGTGATTCCTGCAGTTCTTGTTGCTTCAGTGTTAATGCAATAGACATGATAGTCCCTGGCCCAAAAAGCTTTTGTCTGAAATGTTGCAGATTTGTGAGGTGAAGAAAAGGGCACTGAAGCTGAAAGGGCATAAATAGATATTTTAATATTTCTTGGTGTGTTAAAAGGCTGTGTCCATCATGAGTAATGTTATTTTATTGATACCCTCAGAAGAGTCCAAAGAGATCCTTTTTACAAATGGCTCTGGTATGAGGTGATTCTCTATTGTTATGGTCTTTGGGGAAGAAAAATTCTGCAGTCAGCTGGTCAAGGCTCAATTCAGAGCCTGAACCATGAGGTCCATATAACAGAGAATTTTGGAACCATGTAGTTAAGCTAAAGTAAGGTAAAACTTACTTTACTGTACTACCATGTCACTGTCAGACTTTCCAGTCTAGGAAGGGCCAGCATAAGTTTAGCTAAAATATGTAGGTGAATTTCTGAGTGTTCCTGATAGGGTTAAAATGTGTCTGCGTGTTTGTACATACATTAAAAGCAAATAAATTGGCCTCAGAGAATGGATCTTGTGGCTGACCTGGCCATGAGTTCCAGCGGTGCAGTTCCAGCCCTCTCATTGTCTGCTGCATCCTTTCTGCACCTGACAGTGAACAGTGGTACTGCCTGAAATAGTAAATACTGTACTTGCTGTACAATGAAGTGCTTTGCTTCATTGAAGTCAAAAAGAAGCAGTTCTTGCAAATTGAAAATAGAAAAGGTAAGGTGGTGTTGGAGGGGACATAGTACCCTTATTCTTTTAACTGGGGGATGAGGCTACTCTAAAAACACAACTGTTACACAGAGGGCAATGCTTGGAAAGCAGAAGCAACAGCAGTACTGTGAGTATTTGTCCTTATCTGCTGTAGGAGGCTCAGCTGCCTCAGTGGGCCAGCAGAAGTTACTGTACTGGTTTTAGTGTTCCACTCAGAGCTGGGAATTTGAAACTGATCTCTTTCGAGTGCTCTGCAGTCCTAAACATTGCTGGATTATAGATAATCTAATTCAGGTATAACTTCTGGGGAAGTTGCTGAATATTAACAGCATGAGTGCACTACAGTGAAGATGTGTAAAACCTGTCCTGAGTAGGACAGGTTTCCATGATTTATCTGTCAGATCCAGTCGTCTTGGATTTTTGCTTTGTTTTCTTTCAACACCCATTTTCAAGTCTCTGAATTTGCTTGCTGTGAAACATGGAGAGGTGAGAATCAAGTACATGGGAATTCATAAATCTCAATTTGGCCTTTCAATAAGGCAAGGGTCTCAAATACATGCTGGTTACTTGTGTGTTCTGGATTTTTCCAGCAGATGAGACGCCAGCAAGAACTGTAGAAGTTTTGTTCTTTTCCAAACTATTGGGAACAAATAACAGCCAGATAATATTTTATTTTTATAGGCACAGTAACAGTAATACTTAGCTTCTTGCAGACGTTTTCATCAGTAGTTTTCAAAGTAGTTTAGAAAGGGGCTTGGTGTCATCATTCCTTTGTCATGATGGATAAAGCTACAGAGCATATCCATCCTGTTTTTCAAAGGATGAAAACTGTAACATAACAAAGGGGAAAATATTACAAATCAACCTTGATCAGAGCCTGAAAGCGTGCTAGTTTAATCCAGTGCAGCTGATTGATTGTAGAGCGAGCAGTGGTTTGTCAGCAGGAGCCTGCCTTATAACTACACCTAATCTCCCTTTTTTGTCTGCAAGATTGAATTCAATTAGGAGATTGGAGGCCGATGAAATAGATTTTCTGCATCATGTGACCCAACTGGATCTTCGAGACAACAAACTTGGGGAGCTGGATGCAACAGTTTTTAACAATGTGGAAGTGTTACACTGTGAAAGGAATCAGCTGGTGACCCTCAAAATCAGTGGGTATTTTCTCAAAGCGCTGTACGCTTCCTGCAATGGTAAGTGCATTTTCAAGGTGGCTGTGGTATTGTCATTGTACCTGGTTCTCTGTGAGATGCTCATGGAGTGTACTGCACATAATCAGGAGGCTCTTGACACAGTCCTAGATAAAAGGGTTTCACATGTGCTGTGTCATGCTATTGGCAGTTCTGAGCTTCAGAAGTGACTTTCAAATAATAACACAATTTGGAGGTCTAGGAACCATGATCTAAGAACTGTGAAAATCTTAGAAATTCTTCTCTATGTCAGTAAGGGAGGGTTCTTGAATTTGTCACTTGTTCTTGCATTGATGTGTGCTATTAAGCCAGTAAGGAATTTACTGCTTTTCTCTGCACTGAAAAAGTTTGAACAAGTGGCCATTTGGGAACAAACCAAAACCATAAATGTTTGCTCCTCCCTCTAGCTGCTTAACCTGTCTAGAAAGCTATGAAATTCATAATGGTAACTTAATTTACTTGTATTTGATAATAAAAATAATGCAGCCATCTCCAGTTGAATAACTGTGGTTTCATGAGCAGGATCTGTTTGATCTGTCTCTGGAAACTGCTATTACTTAAAATACTCAGTTTGCACCAACACTTTTATCATTTGGAGTAGTTCAGCGTGGAATAAAGAAAATGCAAAGTCAGAGAACTGTGAATTTGATGAGCAGTCTGAACTGCCTTTAAAAGGCTGTCATCTTAGCAGTATCTAAGCCTGCACCTTCATTAAGAATTCATGCTTTATAGCTGAGAAAAGTTAACATAATCTGAGCATGTGCTGTTCAATGTGGGCTGAGAATCCAAGTCAACCCATGTCTTGCAACCAACTGCCTATTTGGTCTTGCTGTTCCTCCTGGCTGGTCCTCTCATTGCACTCTGGGCCACCTTGTTTTCATCTTGTCTTCCAAAGAAACTGCATGTTACAGTTGCACTTGAGTTGATTTTTCTGTAGGCCTAAATAAATGTCTGTTTGGTTTTTGGGGTTTTTTTTTTAACTTAACATTAAGCACAAGCTACTCAAAACCTTAGGATATGAACTATATTTTGATTGCTTCAATAATAACATTATTAGCTGTAGCTCTGTTATGAAAGATCTGTAAGGCTGCTTGCAACTGGGAACTCCACAGGCATGCCAAGGCTTATGTAATGTGTTGACAAATACTCAGGATCTTGCCATGACCTAAAGGACTCTGGAATTCTGTAACTGGCTGTTCCAGAGTGGGGAGGTTCCCTTCCCATGCTTATATCTCAAGTGACCAGTGAGAAAAAAGTAGAGCAGTTTTGTGAGTGACTCTTCTGGGCAGAGGGTGTTGGAGGTGAAATTACAGCTCTTGTGACAAAAATGGAAAAAAAATGAAAATTTGCCATGAAACTTTTAAAATCCTCCAGTGTCTCGTCCCTCAGCAGTTATGCAGTGGCAGTCATAGCAAGTACAATGTAACATAGCAAATGTACTAAGACATGATAAAGAAACAGAGCTCACAAGGGGCTCACAAAAGTCCAGATCTTCTGAAATTTTTTAGATTATTGATGTGGTCTGAAATCTCTGGATGTTAGTTCTTAAAATAGTTCTTATGGAACAGTCATTTAAGTGCAAATCTTTATCACCAATTTTCTTGTTCTATATATTTTTTCCCACTAGAACTTGTTCACCTTGATGTGTATCCAGTTCCTAACTGCCTGGCTTATATGGATATTTCTAGGTAAGAGTATGTTTTTTCTTAGACCTGTGGAATATAAATCAAAGAGACTTATGGAACAATGACATTCACTGTCATCTTGCTGAGTGGGAATGGGGGTAGGAATTGGACCTTGGGATAAGAAAAGACTGATTTTCAGAGTTGGAGGATATGTTTTTTCATGCTGGTCAGTTCTTTCCTGTTTCCTTTTTATAAATTTACTTTCTTTTTTTTTTTTTTTTTAAATTACTGCCCAAAGCAAAATTTGTATTTCTTTATACTTAAAAGAGTATTATTTCCATGATTTAAAGATTTCCTGTTTTATGGAGTTAGAAATATGATGATTCAAATGCACACCAATCTGAGGCTTGTACAGAAGTTACTTTCTGGATATGTCTGCATTGTAAGCCCAGCGTAGGTGATGGTTTGATAGTTTACTCATCAGTTTGGCAGCTCCTGCAGCTCCTCATAGTTCTCTGCAGCCCTGGCTGCTGCAAGGATGTCTGCAGTTGCCATTTGAATGCATACTTAAATTCCACCTTAATGAAGGAGGTGGGATAAGGGAAGAAATGGAAAAGGGGGTGTTTTAGTTTGTTTTACAGTTCCAGTAATGAATCAGGAAAACATTTATACATGTGCTTAATGGCTGTCGTATTCAAGAAATTAGTCATCTGCATTTAAGTGATAATCTCATTCATTAGAAAACCTGCTTAAAGCACTCATGCTATTGAGGGTGATCCTAACAATTAGTGAGCTAACCTGGGCTAGCGGCCATCAGCTTGGAAGTTTCACCAGCCCTGAGTTACTCACGTTGTCCTAAATGTGACACACTGGTGTGACTAAGTAAGTGATTTATTGAAAAGTGATCTTGTAAAGCTATGTTCTCCATTTATTTGTTCATGAAATCAGCACAGAATGCATGATTTTGATCACAAAGTTCTTTTTGTGCTTCCTTGCTGTGATGGCATTGTAACTAAATGGGTAGGGTGTCCCTAGCTTTTTAGCTTGCTTGGAATTTGGGAAATGCATTTGAGATCAGAAAGGAAGCTATCTGAGAAGAGGGGTTGATTGCCATTGCGTATTTTGATTGAGGACTACTGCAGGAATAAACTGAGGGATACAAGTACATGATTGATTTATAGTCATGCTTCATAAACATCGTATTCCTGAGCTTCAAGTCTACAGGTGCCCAGTCTGCATCTGTGTATTTTGACTGAAGTAGTCATTATGTGAATGCATTTGCACACAATCTCCTCCATGTATCTTGCACTGCTAATTTTTGTCTTTAAGGCAGGATTCAGGAGTGTCCCACAGTGACTTATTTCCATGTTTTTGGTGCAATATTTGGAAAACCTTGCCTCCAAGATGTTAGTTTCCCAGAAGGGATAGTTTCTGTGAAGATAAATGCAAGAAAAGCAAAAGAGTTGGCTTGAAAGATACACAAAAAAAGTTTTGCGCTGTTCAGTGAGATAGTGAAAGAATGGTAGAGTGGATTTTGGTGAATTTCAGGGATTGAAGATGTATTTCAACTGTGTAAGTGTGAATATCTTCTGAGGAGCATCTCAGAAATTTTTGGAGATATTTCAGCTTTGGTACTCTGATTTTCTTAATACTCCCCTGATAATTTGGAAGCATCTTTTTTCCATTTTCTTAGTGAGTGCACATGCAGGGAGATAACACTGCTGTTAGCTTTCTTGCCCCTCACTCAGGACCTGACTTGCACTGGTAATGCCCTTGTAGAAGGCCATATGATACAATCTCACAGGCAACATGCTATGTAGCAGATTTGTTTCCTGCAGGTATCTCTCTTGAGACTGTATTCTTAATAGCCTTTACATCTCAATTATAATTTAGTTACACCTCTTTGTGTTCTTTATTCATAGAAATCACCTGGAAAACCTTCCTGAGTGGGTGTGTGACAGCAGGAAGCTGGAAGTGTTGGATGTTGGCCACAATCAGATACGTGAGCTGCCTGCCCGGTAAGTCTTGCAAACCAGTTGCACAATGGGGAACAAGATAAACAATTCAAAAATAATTGCTGACTCAGTGTTTAGTTTGTTCCAGTGACTGTCAGGGCTGTTTTATCTTTTGTTTGATTTTATTTTTACCTTGTGGGGTGTCATCATGCCTCAAGATTCCACCCAGCCTTTCTTCTTTTACTTTCATGCAGAGAAAGTAGTGCCTTTGAACTTTGAAGCTGTTCATGTGGCTGTTCAGGCAGGAAAGCCCTTCATTTTTAATACTGCATATTAAATATTTACAGCCATAGCTTTACATGACAGTTTAGAGATCCAGCACTTCAGTTTCAGTGATGCTTGGAGACTCCAGTTCACAGCCATGTTTGAGTGAAAAAAGGTTTAAGGAAGGGAAAGCCTCATGAAGCAAGTAAACTCCTGCAAGAAGAGTGATTGCCTTCATTACCAAGATGATCTCTTTTCCAGAAGTCTAAATTTAAAATTGATAAATATAAATGATAGAAAAAAAGTCAAGAGGAAGCAAAATAGGAGTTGAGTTTAAATAATAAATGAGTCTTGATATTTTGTTCTAGTGAGAGCTGTCTCTTCCAGGTGAGTTATACTGCTTAGGTGGTGATGTTGGGCATTTTTAAATTTCTGCCTTCACTGGAAGAGAGCTGTTATTTTAGGTGGTTCTGTACACTTTGAAAGAGATGTGAAAGATGATGATGTATCATGAGCTACTAAATCACAGAATAAGCTGAGTTAGAAGGGACACACAAGGATCATCAAGTACCAGTATTTTCCTTAAGGAGCTGTACAGCAGAGAAAAGCATCAAAAACCAAGAATGATAGTTTTTTCTGCGTCAGGTGATTGTGTAAGATGGTGTAAACTTGTCTGTTTTAGCGTCAGAAATGGGAAGAGAATAGATTTCAGAAATATGGGGACAAGAGGATGTGGAGAGATTTACCAAGCAAACTAACAGGCTGATGTGCAAGACAATTAATCCCTCTGTTTTTTCATACCTGTACACAAAAAAAATGAAGCTCTGCCTACTCAGAAGGTGGGGGTGCAAAAGTTCATTTTCCTTTCATTTGCACTTCATAACAGTTAGGATTTTCAAGACATACCGGATATCTCTGGGAGATTAATGATTAGCTGAAATTAGGTACACTCAACATCCCACTTGTCTCTCCTGCCATCTTATCATTAACCCCAGGAAATAGCTTATCTTTGAAAGTTCTTCTTTGTAGTATATGTCTAGATAGCTTAGCTCCTAATAAGTCAGCTCAGTTTTAGGGTCCTGTTCCATTCAAAAGGCAGGCTTTGAATATCTGTTAAACTTTAGAGGAAGTTTAGGTCTGGACTCAAATGCAAATGGTTCAACATGCCTAAGTATCAAGTAAATGCAAGTAAAAGCTCAATGAGTGTGTTCAGGTGCACTGCTGTGTACTTTTTCTTCTACAAAGAATAGCATTCTGTAAACCTGTGAAGTGAATCAGCAGGGCTCTCCTAGGAGGCTGCTTGTGACACTTAAACACAAATGTGCAAGCCTTGAGTGACCACCATATTCCTGGTAGGGTGAAGGTTTCATCTGGTCTAAACAAACTACACTTGATTCTGTGTGTTTGCATCTTGAAGCAGAAAAATTGTCCTTGAAGACAAAGAGTTGAAGCAGTTGAGGTAGAGATTTCTGTACTGGCATTTGTCTCAATTAAGGGTAAAGGGAAAATGTCACCTGGACTGTAATGCAGCTGTTTTAGCTTTAAAAGTACTGAAAAATTACAAAAAGGTTACTCAGTCTTAGCCGTACAGGACAAATTCATAAAAATCATACTGCCAAAGAGAAAGTAAATGCTTCAATTAGGAGTTGCCAAAATGACCTTGTTGCCATCAGTGACCAGATGTTTGTATTTTTGTTCATTTTTTGTCTGTTTTTTTAAAAGATCTATTTCTATTCAACATTGTATTCTCTTGAAGAGTTGCTAAGTAAAGGAACTGGTACAATGCTATGTAATACAATTACACCAAACTGCGTTTTCTGAGAAGATGCTGCTGATGAATGATGTGCTTGTCCTTAGAATTTACTGATTTCACCAAAACTTCCAGTGGGAATTGGGCAAGTGGGAAAGCTGCCTGTTTGGACAAGCAGTCCCAGCATCCTGGTTCCCCACCCGGCTTGAGAACTAGGCGTTCCAGGCTCATCAGGAGCTTGCTCTTCAGTCTCTTTTCAGCCAGCCCAGGTCCTTCAGTGCTTGTGTGACTTGAAAAATAAGAGAAAGCAAATCAGAAAAAAAACCCCAAAACAACCAAAACCTCCCAAATATTTACTCAGTTCTTCTGAATTAAGGAAAGAAGAAGTCTCTGAGGATTTTGCTACAGTTTAAACTTTTTTTAAAATTTAAAATGGTGCTGCCCCTACCCATCCCAAAAAAAACCTCAAAGGGGGTTGTTTTTTTTTTTGTTGTCAAACCAGTTCTGCTGTCTACCCTGATATTTGGTGTTGACAGTATTAGCCAGTCTCAAAGAATAGAATACAAAGGCAAATCCATAACTGAGAGAATTTCACATGAAAATAGAGCAAAGCAAAAATGGTTAAATAACGAATACGTAATAGATAGGCTTATCACTTTGGTAAGACTTTTCACCCCGTGTTGAGCCTTCTGGAATGATAGGGCTGGCTGTTGACTTGTGTCCATGCTCATAACTCAGACAATCCGGCCAAGTGAGATAACTGTTAACACTGGCATGCAGATACCGAGAGTGACGGTATCTGTCAGGGGAAAATACTCAGCGTACTTGATTGATGATCCTGGCAGAATGATCCCATGACCTGATGCACTGTAGGGAAGGGGCAGGGAGGCTCGCTACATGTATTTGGGTCATTGTGACAGAGGGAAGAAGATTTTTACTTTAATGCTGAATAATTTGAGAGTATTTGATTGAAGCAGGTCAGCATGTTGCATGGGCTCACCAGATTAAACAGTACAGTAGCAGGCATGTAAGACATGTGGCAGATGAAGAATAATCTTTTTTTATTAATTTGCTGAAAGTGATTTCTGTTCAAAATTGAGAGTTGCTCTATTTTTGGTGTCTTTAGGTGCATGCCTTCATTCCATTGTTTATCCTGTGAATTTAAGCTATACTGTTTGATCAGAACAGCTATCTTTCTCTTTATGTTGCCCTCTTCTCCCCTCCCTTTCTCCCCACAAAAAATGGAGCAGGGGGGTGGGACTCCAGGTCATCTATTGCTTGTAAAAGCTCAAGAAAGTAAAGCCGATTAGATAAATTTCATTCGCCATAGAACTGGAAAGGAGGCTTTATGTAAGTCTGGTATTAACAGAAAAGAAAAATTGTGGGGGTGGGGAATTGCATTGGATTATGAGTCAGCACATGATGAGTAGAGCACTAGAAAGTTTGTGGGGTGACTGGTGATTTCACCCCCACTACTGAAGTGCTAGGGGGATCCCACGTGCAGATTTCTGCAGCCTTTCTTAGCAATTACCTCCTTCACTGTCGTGCTTCTATATTCATGTTTTATACAGTGCCATAAAATAACCCTTTGTCACTACTTTCACTCCTGAATCATCTGTGAACCTCCTTCCCTGTCTCTGAAAACCTTTTGAAGAAGTTGGTGGAGAGTGGGAAGACATTCTTGGATTTGTGCGTAATTAATACCATGTCTGCTAATCAGTTGGCTGAATCACTTTCTTGTAATGAACCATGACACCGTATCGAAATTATCAAATAAACTCTTCAGTTGAAATTTTTCTCATTTTTGGTGTTTTTTATTTCTCTTAAGGTTGTTTAACAACAGTAGCTTGCGGAAGCTGCTGGCAGGGCACAACATGCTAGGAAGGCTCCCAGATCGGCTGGAGCGAACGCAGGTGGAGGTCCTGGACGTGCAGCACAACCAGCTCCTGGAACTGCCATCTAACCTGCTTTTGAAAGCAGACAGGTAAAATTATAAAGAAATTTGATCCTTTTGACTTGCATGTGATGAACCTCGCCTGGCCTGTTACTTCCTGGTTCAAAGGGTAATCCGAGGTTCCCCTGATTTGAAAGTTGCCAAGCCTTGTGTGGTAAGAACAGATGTCTGCCCAACTCACCAAAACACATTCTTTTTATTCTGGTTTTGTTTCCTTATATGGTTGCTTCTTTTTTCCCAACAAGCTCCTGCTGAACACCTACTTCTTGAAATCTAGCTGCAGAGCTAAGCACATGCTATTTTCTACTACATATACTGAAATGGTTTAGTGGCAGGTTCTTTAAATACATATTTCTTAGGCTTGTTTGATGGAGTGTGAAAGCTTTTTTTCCCCCCCTTCAGTCAGAGGCTAGAACTTATTTATACCTGTCAAACAAAACAAAATCTCTGCATAAGGCTGTCAGAATAATTCAGTTATTCCCCTGTCCTTGCTTTTTGAATTTTTTTCCTATGCTTTTTAAATGTTTGTCACTCATTTAGTTGGTGTCACCACTTGATCTGCTTTCTGGATTCTTATTTTTATGCTGCTATTTCTTTAGTATCAGTGTCTTCAAGGTTTTGGGGTTTTTTTCTGAATATGAACATATTCTTCAAGTGGCTGTGATTGAAATACAGGATGTTTGGTAGAATCATCTGGGGATGGTGGATGGGCTGGCCCCACTTGGTGTCAGCATTCCTTGCACCTCTTCACTTCCACATATAGTCATGGGATTTCTGAGCGCTCAATGCATGCATAATTTAACAGACAGTGAGATTGTGTGCTGTGGGGTTTTATTTCTGATCCTAGCTGTGACAAAAAGAATGCATAGCTCCTGGCTTTCTTGAGAGGTGCAGAAGCAAAAGAGGTGGTGATCTTGCTGGCAGAGCTCCTTTCCCAATTAAGAGTACTGCAAAGCCCCTCATTTTATACTGTTGTTAGTTTTGTCATGAGCCTCTGGTTAAATTTCCTGGAATTGACTTGGAGAATTAGGTTAGTGGTTGAGATGCTTTCTAAATAAACTCTGTAACTGTCCCAAGTTGAATCTGTTAACTTGGAAAGAAAAGAACCCTTTAAGTAATTTTCAGAGAGCTACTGGTATTTTGAAAGCAACAAGAGAAATAATTTTGCAAAATTTTTATTTAAGATTAAATTGTATTATCAGGTTGTAGGTCTAGGATGTAGTGTAGTGCAATTTTGGCAGAGAGAGAGCCTGTTTTTTTTGTACTGCAGCTCATTTGTAGGCAGGGATTTTTTGGTGGGGGTTTTTTTGGGGGTTTTTTTTTGGTGCGGTGTTTGTTTGTTTGTTTTTTACGATGCCAAAATGACTGACTACAAGCTAAAACCAGGATTTGGGATAGATTCCCAGGAGTTTACTAGGAATATGCTGAGAAGATGCAGAATTAAAGAATATTTTGAGTAACAGTGTTAAGTGGCTAATTCAGGCTTGGGGAATTTTTTCCCCTTTGCAGCTTTTGAGCAGTACAGGGCTCATGTTTTCAAAGTCTTCTATAGGTCTTAACAAAGTCATGCACCATCACAGGAGATAAACAGAGCTTACCAGTTCTGACATCTCCTCACCAATGCAGCCTCCCTTGCCTGTGATGATGGTAGAAGCAGTTGGCTTGGGTAATGTTTGCCCTGTTGATCCCTACCCTTTAACTTGGCTTAAGATGGTATGGCTTGTCCATGCTGGTTCTTCTGTGGCCACTGCAAAAGTGAGAACTCTGAAGGAAAACAGCAGCACAGGTTAATATATTAGTGTAGAATGTCAGAGTTTTAAGTTTGGAAATTCCTGCTTGCATCTATCAGCAGCTAAGTGTCAACAGAAATGGATCTGGAAAGGCGTTGAGATTGTTTTGCTTTTAGAAAGGTAAAATGCTTCTCTTCTCCAAGCATTCCCTGGGAAGCACAATCTGTACTGCCAGACGTGCCAAGAGAACTGGTTCTCCTGAGTGATGTGCCATGGTCTCTACCCAGTGTGTAATATTGGACAAATCACTTTACCTCACAGAACCTTTAACTCTGCAGAAAATGACTTGCCTTTTACAGCCCTGAGAAGATTTGGGTTTGTTTTGGTTTGGTTTTTTTGAAAGGTACTTGGGTCTTTGCAACTGACAGATGATATCTTGTCTGAATATGAAGTCTCATGAACTGTGAATTATAAACGCTTTCTGTTTCTCAGTCCTGAATATTTGATAAAGTGGGTGTGAAGTGCCTTGGGCAAACTTCAGCACAAGCACTGGTGGGCTTTGACATCTAGAACATCTGATGAGGAAAGGAAATCAGTACACTGGTGCACAAAGAGAGAATATCACTTTCACCAAGAAAAAACCCCCAAACCCCAAATACTGAAAAACCTCAGTTCTCTTCATAAAATAATCTATGAACATTGATTTTCTGCCTTGATCCTTCAAAAAACAATGAAAAGGTGTCATTTTCTACGGAAGAATATAATTAGGAATACTTTGTTGGTCTGCTGTTTAATTAATTTTCTATTTTAAACTGCTAGTCCAGGAGAAATTGAGGACTGGCCGATGAAACATCCCTCTGATCAAGATAGAACTTGGTTCTGTTTATTGCACTGAAAGTATGCACATCTTGATCATGTTAGCAAGGATTTCTCTTGTGGGGTGGGGATTTTCTTGGCAAGATCAGTGCTACAGAGGCAGCCAGATAATCTCTTCATTTCTCATTACCATATGCTGAAAAAACAGAATTCATGCAAGTGCTGCAGCTGAAGGGGAAAACTCCCAAGCTAAGTCCTGAACCTTTTTTCCATGCACTTGCATTGATGAGGCTTTTCATTTCTATCTTCTGCTGTATCTGTTGTGATGCCTTTTCTGCTGTCCTGTTCTTGTGCAGACTTTTTACTGCCTTTCTTGAGCAGCTTGCAGGAAAACTACCATTTCATGGCTTGGAAACTGTTGCACCAAGTGCTCTCCAGATAAGACCAATGAGTCTTCAAGAGCTTTAGCTGGGCACAGTAGAAAAGCAGTGACAGTGGTCAGGACAGGGTTAAAAATGGGGAAGCACAGTGGTAAGATGGGACAGGGTTTGTTTCTTGTCTAAGCATCCTTTCCAGTTAGAATGAATGTTTTCAGTGTCATCCCTTAAAACAGTCTTAAAGCATTTGTGTGGTGAAGATGTGTAGCTTCGAAGTGCACAGCTTAAACCTTGGGCTTTGTTTTGTAGTGTCTGGTAGTGGCCAGCTGTGGTGGTTAAGCCAATGTCAGCTATTCAGAGCTTGTCTAGACTCTGTCTGCATGATTTTTGTTTTCAGCTTTGTTCAGCTGTTCTTACTTAATTTGATTTTCTGTTAGTTTTGAATTTATTTTATTTGTTTTGGGTTTGTTTTTTGCTGGAGTCCTGGAAGGTGACCCAGTTAAATTTTCTTTCATTTGATATTTGCCATTTCCACCCACTGTGGCTGCTTCTTTGTGATGCAAGGATTCAGTCCTATCCTGGATGCAGGGGAAGTGTGAGGGGGGAAAAAGAGTCAAATTAATGCCAACTGCTGTTTGAGTGTTTGATGCACGTGCTTGTGTTGCAGAAATGCTTAGTTGCATTTGTCTCTTTGTTCCTAGGTTAAGGACTGTAAGCAGATACTTTAGAAACTGGGGAAATCCCAGTTAGTAAAATAGCTAAAGATAGGTTAGAAAGTAAGAGCTGACAAGAGAGCAGCAGTTAAGTGGTTGTTTTGGCAGTCCATCAACAGGAAGGGGATTCACTTGAATGTTTCTGTCTTGTAATTTATTTTATTTATTTTTGAAAGAAAAAAAAATACTCTCTTTTGCACAGGCTGGCAAAACAGCTTTGATTTCCTCCCCCCTGCCCCAGACATGCTTACTTTACAGGATTCTTCCTCACATGCTAGCACATTCATAAATTATTTTAGTCTTAGTCAATCAGAAATTGAGGGCATGTCTCTGCAGAAGGCACTGGAGAAGAAATTCTGTATTTTGATTGCTCTGTACTGATGGAGATCTTGGGGCATAGGCCAAACTGGAGATCTTGATTTCTCTACATATTCTCTTTTTGCAACTGCAGTGTTCTTTCCAACTCTTATCAGTACTTTCAAGCTAAACACAGTGGTTTTGATTTGCTGCTGCTTCACCAAAGAATGCCATTGTCTGTGTTCCTCTTTTTTAATGTCAAATATTCCTAAGCTTTTTGGAGAACTTACATTTTTTTCAGTGATGGCTGTGTCTTACCCAGCAAGGCAAGTTTGTGAGGCTCCCTCAGAAAACAGTGAGGAATTCAGAGGTGCTCTGTTCTCCCAGTTGTCTGCATTCACCTTTTGTGTGTGCTAGAGGTAGGCAGCGGTAGTCAAAGTTCAAACCTTTTGCGGTTTTATGTAGAAGATATTCTTCCTCTGCTTTTGGAAATTCAAATTGAGATAGAATCTTCTGGGAATTAATGGGGAGTGGATATGACTACATATTAGGTGTTTTTATTTGAATGAAATCCATGTCCTTGATTACAGGCTATTCTTTGGATCAGTCTTTTTACTTATTTTGTCTTTTGGAGAAGTTAAGTCCAGCAAGGGACTTAATACCCCAAAAAACCAAAGGTGACTTATCCCAGCCAGAGATCACTGTGTATGTTATTATTCCAGAGGAGAATATTCATCTTGTCAAAGCTGAAGAATTCAGACATCTCCCTACCAGTACCTTCATTTCTTTCTTCATCTGTGATGCACTTTTAGTACTTGTTAATTCATGCTTTCCTGGCTGTATTGTGCTCTGATATGTGCTCAGGCTGCTGAATTCAGGTCTTTGTAGTGATGCTGTAGTTTTTTTTCATGAGCTTGTGGTATAGTGTGTGGGTGGAATTGGAAAGGGAAACAATTAATTTTGGACTGAGCTTTAATACTTGACATTCTGCTTCCATCTGATAAGCTGTATGAGTGGGATATCTTCAAGGAACATGAATCAGTTTAAGTCCATGCACAAGAGAGATGGGAACAGTTGTGCCCAAGTAAATTTCCACTCCTCTGGAGGGCATTTATAAGATGTGCCTTCTAAGGTAGCAGCTGGCACATTGCACAAGGATGAAGAAATATGGGAGTGGAAATAACCTGCACAAGGATTTCTGTGTTAAATCAGTGAGAGGGAAAACCTGAGGGGCAGCTACACTTTTAGGTTTTGCTGGGTTTTTTGGTTGTTGGGTTTTTGTTCTGAGGTTTCTTTGGGTTATTTTTTTTCTTGTTGTTGTTTTGTTTTTAATGTAAGATTATAGCACAGAATTGATAAATCTTTGGGACTAGGAATCTGATGGTTCATTCTGTTCTCTGCCCAAAGAATAGTGTCCTTATTTTAATATTTCATTTTTATTTTTAAATCTAGACAATATCTTGAAAGAATTATTATTTCAGAATGTTTTTTACCATTTCAATGTAACAGCTGGTCTAAAAACACGTAAGCAAGCAACACACTCATTTTCAAATGCTGATTTAATTCTAATTATGTCATCTAGAGACAGAGGTGAGTGTGACTACTCTGACCCTGACTGTCTGTTTAAGGTGAAACACCCTGCTACCACAGGGTTCCCATTCTAAGTTGTTGGTAAGACTTTTGCTAGTCACCTAAACATTGTTCCCAAAAGGCACTAGCCTGTAAGTTAGGATGATGGGGATTTATTTCCAGTGTCATTGTGTCAGTCCCTGGAAGATTTAGCAAAAGATCTGGGTGGGGGGAATGGTGTATGTGTCCAGAGCATCAACTCTCCTCTCTACCTTCCCCATTGGAAAATACAGTCAGCAAAGCTTATTTCTGACAGGAACACACAGATTCCACTCACTTTTATTACCAGTGAGGGAACAAATTGAAATCTTTTGTTACATTTCACCAGTGTTGAAAGTTTATTAAAAACAGAAGAATGATTAATTTTTATTTTGAATTTAAAATGGCAACAGTACACTGTATTCATCTCAGCTGTATCAGAATAATGTACCTTTTATTAATTGAAGCTTTTAGTTGTACTTTGGGCTAGCTGCTTTTGGTCAGACTTCACAGCCATAGATGACAGTGCTCTCTAAATTACCTCGTTGGTTGCTGGTACCTGGGACACACTCCAGGTTATTCTTGTGCAGCTTGCTAGAACAAAACTAAGATACAGGTGGTACTTCAGAAGAGCATGACCTTTCTCAGAGTGTGTTTTGCTGTCACCTCTTATCCCCATCTTTCCTCTGAGAACTCACTTTTCCCAGCAGCCTTAAACCTAATTGTTACTTAAGCCTTTCCAGCTTGAGCTGAAGATGACCATTTTGTACTATGAATGGTACAAAAAATACTGTGGCTTCAATGTTAATCAAAGTGCCTTTATTTTGTGGAGAGGGAAGACTATCATGCACATTAGATTGAAGTTCCCAAAGTAGTAACTGTCTGTACTTTAGTAATAGCTGTACTTGCTGCTGTTTAATTAAGCACAGGATCTGTTGATGCGGTGTGCTTCGGTTTAATGATCCAGCCTTGAATGAGCTTAGTATATTTTTAGTTTGTAGCTAAAGGGTGAAATTGAGCATCTTTTTAGAATAAATAAATAAATTAAAAACCCCTTTCAGCGCTTATTTCCTTCTCTGTACTAATCCTTCCTCCCCTCCCTTCCTCCTCTGGATTTTTAGCACCCTTGTGAATAATGAATGAGCCTGAGGATTAAACTGTGTTTCTCTGAAGTGGACTTCTCTGTCTGTGTAAAAACAGCTAACCTGGTTCTGTGCAGTGCTGAGAGGCTTTTGCTTCTGATGGAAATAGTGGGGTTTTTTTTAATCCTTTGGCATTCCACGTGACTCCTGTAGTGTGTCTGACCCTTATTTACTGCTGAGCAAGTTTGAACCAGCTGCTACTCCTGCAAATCCACTTCATTCAAAGTAATAGACCTTAAAGGTCAGTGTGGACTCCTGTGTGCATGGGAGCAGCCATCAATATTTTATCACTTTCTCTTAAGATTGATGACAGGAACGCACCTACCTTTTGTGTCCTGATCAGTGGGCTTTACAGGCTTGAGACAACACATTTATGAGTCTTTTTTCTCAAATGCAGCTTTGCCCACTGCAGCTGCCTGTTCTCATTAGTTGGTAGGAGCAGGACAGCCTGGTCTGAATGAGATTGCTGCGGACTGGCAAGCCCACACTTCCTTCTGCATTGCTCCAAGGCAGCCTTTTCTGAAAACGGAAGGAAGGAAGAGAGGTCCCATATCTGTTGAAAAGGCATGGTCGTGCCAGAGTTGGTTCCTAAAGGATAAATAGTCTTATTTTTCCATTTGTCTGGAATTACTGATGTGAGTTCTAGCCACCAAGGTGCTGCAGTGCTGCTGTTCTCACCATACTCCCTAGCAAGCATGAACCCTCTGCCCACGGAACTTCTCTAGCAGGAATGGGCAGTGCCTATACCACTGCAGCTCTTGTTCCCATCCTGGAAAAGGCCTTTCAGAGAGAAAGAATAATTCCATTTCTGTGCTCTTTCAGTTGTTGCTCATTGTGGTGGGTCTGCAAAAACATGGCCTTCTGCTGTGTTGGGGAGCAGGAGAGAGGCACTCAAAAAAGCTATGCAGAGATAAGGCTCTCTTGCTGCACACATCAGCAAGCAAGGATGTAACTTTTAAAATTTAATTTGCTACTAGCACAGTCTCTCTTTAAAATCTAAAACACAAATTACTGCTTGGTCTCAGGTTTTGGTTTTTGTTGTGATTGATGCATCTTTTTCTATCCAAATATTCAAAGAGTATTTTTCGTATCTTGTAGTTGCTCGCAGGCCTGCAGGTTTAAACAAAATACTGTCTGTTCCTTAGACTGTGTTTAAAATACTGAAAAATTGGCTGGCCTTTTTTTTAACCATTGACTTGTTTAGTCTCTTGAAAGGCAATTCTCATGGTTTGTTGACGATGAATACAGAACTCATTTTTACATGTAATGAGTATGGAAATGATGTGGTTTGTTATTGCTCTTACCTGTAGCTACAGCTGTAGTAATATTGGAGATACTGAGCTCTTGATAACAGGATAGAGGCACTTCAACATACTCTTTTTGCTGATGTTTTGTTCTTACAAATGTGATCATTGAAAACACAATCAGAAGTTTTGCTCCTGTAATGCTGGACTTCTGGTCTGTTGTGAGCTCGTGGCTTTTGACCTTATGACTATCTTAAGTTAACTCTTAAAAACAGAGTTTTTTATTTATGCTTCTAGACAAAAACCTGCAGGATGTTTGACTGAGCTCCCTTATGTAACTTCTCATTGCAGCCTGAGATTTCTTAATGCCTCTGCCAACAAACTGGAAATGCTTCCTCCAGCCACCCTTTCTGAAGAAACCCATAGCATCTTGCAGGAGTTGTATTTGACCAATAACAACCTCACAGATAAATGTGTACCCTTGTTAACAGGCCACCCACACCTGAAAATCTTGCACATGGCTTACAATCGCCTACAGAGCTTCCCTGCAAGGTAAGGAACTTGTTTCCCTGCCTCTGGCCCACGGGTGGGTGGGCATCATGAAGTATTTTCACAGTGAGAACTGAATTGCACAGGAGTGTGGTGGCAGAGGCTGCATTTTGGGTGTAGTGGTACCACAGTGGGTGGATTCCCCCGCTTATGCCCTCCTGCACATAGCTCCCCTCTCTTGCAGTACAGGCAAATGAGTGATGCTTGTTACTTGGTGAGTTTTCATGGCGCTTGAAACTGTTTTCAGCTGTTCTAATTCAGCATGGTCACACTATGCTTTTGGAAGTCAAGCAAGGAGGTCTTCTGTTCTCCCTGGCTTGGTAAATTTGCTTACACCTGGTGAGCTTCTCCTCACAAGAGATTGTGAGCACAGCCGTCTGGAAATGTCCTCTGGAAGTGGACTAAGCTCCACTAGGGAAGAATCCTCTCAAGTCCAGAAGGAGATTCTGCCTTGGCAGCAATTTCTGCGCTTTCAGTTCACTCTGTTTTAATCAGAAATCTTTCAAGTGTAAGATGTGCTGTAAAACTGATGGGGTACAACCTTGAAAAAGAGATGCCAATAAATAATGGAAGGGACATCTTTGTCCTTGTGTGATATTCTGAGCAGCTGGGCTCCAGAAGCAAGGAGAAGGGACAGAGATGAATTTAGGGGGAAGAGCTGAGTGGACTGCCAGAAGAGGGAGGGGAAAATGTGAGGTGCAGAGATGCAGTGAGAAACTAGGGTTGATAGAAAGGGGGAGAAAGGAGGAAAGAGTGCAAGTGAGCTGGTAAGCAGTGGGGATGCAAGCAAAATAAGTAATTTGAAAGGTAGCGTTAACAAACACTGACAGAAGAAGTACACGTTTTGTTGCACAACTGTGTTAGTATCTGACATGAGGAGAGCTGACAGGCACTGCTGTGAACAAGAATCAAAGTCTGTGATTTTGTTCCCTTAAAGTAACAAAAACCATTGCTCTTATCACCGCTTCAAAATAAAATATGTGTATATTAGAAGAAAACTTCTCAAATTCTTGTTTTCACAGCAAAATGGCCAAGCTGGAAGAGTTGGAGGAAATTGATATTAGTGGGAACAAACTGAAAGCCATTCCAACAACCATCATGAACTGCAGACGTATGCATACTGTAATTGCTCACTCCAACTGCATTGAAGTCTTCCCAGAAGTCATGCAGCTTTCTGAAATAAAGGTATGGAATGAATGTACTTTGGAAGAAGCAAGCATAATGCTTGAATTTTACCAGTTCTTTTCTGCCCTTGGGTCTCTCATTGCTATGGGACAGTATATTCTCAGAGAGTATGGAGATCTGACAGTTGCTGTCTCCTCTGAAGTCATAGGCAAAATACTTGTCTCTGCGCAGTCTCAGAGGGAAATGAACAGAAGCCTCAAAATCTGATTTTAGGCTTACCTTGGTTACTCTGTATCTTTTCTGCCAGATAAGTGTTAATTGTCTTCCTGTGGCAGTCTGTTTTGATACAACTTAAACATTTGGCAGGAGCTGTGCTGAATTAACTCTTTGTGCCTTGGCAATCAGCTGATTCTGTAGGAATGGACTTTGTTTAGAGCGTGTCTTAAAAACTGCTGAAGCTGCAGAACAGGATAGGGACAGAGATAAATTCGGGGAGCACAGGATTTGATATTTAGGCAATCTACTTTCATTTTCCTAATTGCAGTCATATTTTGCACAATGGTAAGATTAGCTAATCTGTCTCCTGTCTGTGTTTCCAGAAGTAATTCTGTACTTTTCCCAACGTTTCTTTTTGAGGGAGGCGTTCTTCACTTGACCACACTACAAACGCTGCTCCTTACTCCTGTGAACTGAGTTCCTGCTTCTTGCCTGCTTCTAGTGCAGACTAGTTTGCACTGTGTGTCCTTTCTGCTGGACAGAGCTGGGAGACGGTTGTCTCACAGCATACAAATCTTGTGATACAGAAGAAAAATCTGTCCTTCTCTGAGGCTGAGAACTGATTACCTATTCAGGGACTCAAAACAACTTAAGTGTCCTTCTGGCGCTTTGTGAAGTCAAAAGGCTAAGTTCCCAGCCTGCTGTGTGTGCCTCGGTGTCTGGGGTCATGGAAAGCAGCAGGAGCAATAATTCTGTTGGACAAGGGAGTATATGTAAAGATGAGCTTTGTGGTTTCAGCCAGGAAATCTCAAACAAATTCCTGGGTATTTGAATACTCCTCCCTCTTTGGAACAATGGCCAGAGGAAGCAGAGGGCCATTTAGAATCAATCAGAAGTAAAGCCTTTTTTCTTAGAGGAAGAATTGGGGTGGGGGAGCAAAGCTCTGCATAGTAAACATTTCTTTAAAAATATGAGGGTGGTGTTAGCAAAAAAAGGAAAAAATGATAATGTAAACATACTGATAGGGAACAGCACCTTTTTCCTTTTGCTTGTGTGTCTTGGGGAAAACTGAATGCTTTATAGAAGTGTCGTATTTAAAGTGCTACTTGGCCACATTGAACAGCAAAATGCTCTTGGAAGAGCTGGCAGTTTTCTTCCTGCTGGTTCCCTATGGTTTAGTTCTCTTCAGCAAAAGAAAGAGATGTGGACGTCACTAAGTGTTTTGGGAATGCAGGGATAACGTGTGGCTTAATTTAAGAGGGCAAAGTGTTCTTTGACTCCACCTTTGTGGCAGGAAAATGCCTGGTCAGTACTCAATCCTAGTGTTGACTTACATGAGGTGAGTTCATATAATTGCCAGATGGGAAGGTGCCTTGTTGGACGTAGGAGTTCTGGCCTTTGGGTGATTTCTCTAGGTCAGGGTTGGTGTTTATCAATCTGGAGATAAAGCATGAGCTGCCTGCCTGTATCCATTTCTTGCCCTTACCCAAGCTCCTTTTTGGATATGGGGTAGCATTCAAACTATGCCAAAGTGCAGAATTTATTTCTTTAACTATGGATTTGGTCACGTGGTGAAATAAGCTTGTTTTTAGCGAAGCACAAAGTCATCCAGTCTAATGTCACCTCTGTGATTATATCATACTTGATGATTAATTTTAACTGAAGTGGCATTCACTCTAAACTCCTGGGGAAACTATGCTACCTGAGGTAATGGCTGTTTAGCTTTAATTAGCCTGAGAGGCTGACTTACTATGTTTTTGGTGTCAGTATCACTGGAACAGTTAGTAGCAGCAGTTACTATGCTGTCTGAAATGATTTCAGAAGGAAGACTAGTGTAAATGATGATGCTTTTACAATTGCAGTGACTCCAGGACTTCCAGATACAAGGTCATTTTAAAGATATCATTGTCTCTAAGCCTTTTTTACACACTACATTCAAGGCTGCAGAAGCTGAGTGTTGTCCTCTCTTTTAAAGAGCCCAGTGGAGACCTTGGAAATACCTTGAACAATGCATTTTTAGGGGTTTTATTGTCTTTTATGACAGTTATTTATACTGTCAGAGTTAGGTTTGCCCTGTGCACACTGAAATGTCTTCTGCGAACGGCCGAGCAGCTGGAAGCACTCACACCTGAGTGCCCCAGCAGACTCTTCCCTGCAGCTGTTGTGTGACTTCAGTTTCCTTGCTTTACAAAAGAAAAACACCAGATAGGATAATATTGCTATGACCCCCTTCAGCTACAAGTGGAAATAACCCAGGTCCCTTCCAGCCATGAACACAACAGTTACAGAGCCGTGAAAGCAGCAGCCTGCCTAAGCAGATGCTCCCTGTTAAACCCTGTCTTCCAGCTGGCCCATCCAGTGCAAAATTCTGTGTGCAGTTGCAGTTGTTCTTCTGGTGCTGCTTGGGTGGGGCAAAACCAGCTTGCGTTAAAATAACACAGGAGGAAATTGGGATAAGTTAGGAAAGAAACTTTCCTGCTTGCCTGTGGAGTAGAACAAGGACTAAATTTAACACAGACCCACAGCAGGTCCCTCTTAGCCTATTCTTCAAAGAATACCAGTAACACCTAAGAAATTCCATCCTGATAAATAAACCATCTTCACTACTTCCTAGGGATCAAGGGATCTGCTGTAGAGTGTCGCTTAAATGCACACTGAGCATTTAAGGAGAACATTGGAATTACTGGTATTTGTACTTTTCATTACAGCATGCTCTTCCAACAAATATGTAATGGCATGGAGGTGTTGAACACAGCAAGGCCTGCTGGCAGCTTCCTTAATCTGCAAAGTAGTTGCTGGCTCTCTGGAAGCAGCAAGGAGTTGTGCAGAGGGAAAAAGTTCGCTGGAATAACTGCTGCTAAGCTGTCTATTACTTTGTTTGCGTGACGGATTTAAACTTTGATTTCCTTATCAGGCTTAGATAGCGTCAGCAGTTTGTTCTTCATAGATAATAAAGCCTCCATATTAGACAATCTCAGGATTCAAGATTTGGGTCAGAAATTTTTTATTTTCATTGCACTTATTTAATAAAGTGTTTGGTGACTGTTCTTTTCCAGGATTTACTAGGTTATCTTATGTCTACTTCCAGCTTAGCAGCTGATGTCTTTGAATATACCTACAAAAATGAAAGTGCCTGTCTTGTATTGATGGAAATTACATAATGGTCAAAATGTGCAGCTAGAAAAAGTCTCCTTCTGCCCCTTTCAGCTCTTTTATTAAAGTTTCTGAAGTCTTTCACTTTTGCAACTTGAAAGTAGAAAATGGCCTTTCAGAAAGATGTGGATAGTTCTTCTGTTCTCTGTTAAATACCAATCTGCTCTGTCCTCTCATATTTTTTTCTTTCTTTTTTGGGGGGCGGTTTTTGGTTTGTTTTTTTTTTTTATTTTGTTTTTTCAGTTTTTGGGGCATACTACACTAGTCATCCTGTGGTTGTTTGGAGGTTTGATTTGTTCTCATATGCCCTATTTTTCCCTGTATATTGACTTTCATTTGGATACACAGGTTTAAACAGTGTTTGGAGATTTTATCATTTTAGTGCACTTGTTCTAGCTAATTTGTGCTTAGCTGGTCCATAGCCTGCAAGTTTCTTTGCTGTTTTGGATTTTTGAAATGTTTAAACTTTATTTTTTTCACTCTTTTTTTAAAAATTGATTTAGTATTTAAATACAAATCCCTCTAAGATGACACTAATTAAATACATGTTTAAAACTGCTCCAGTATTTTCCCCCCTCTACTCCTCCCTTCTGCATACATTAATAACACGGCTTATTTTAATATCCCTCAGTAAATACTGAATTCCTTGGAGCCTGCTGCCAGTGGCTTAGAAGCCCCAGCTGTACTTATCTCCATTTCCTTTGTCTATTAAGTGACTGTTTTCGTTAATAACATTTTTCCTTAATTAATTTGAAAATCCACTGACTATATCTGTGAAGAGCAGAAAAACTTACTGATTTTATAACAAGATGACACCTGACTAGAGATGGAAGTGAAAGGAACATATTTCTAGGTGTCCCAGACATCTGGCAAGATGGCTAAATGCCATGTAAGAATTTCTTTTGTAAGAAGCACTTACTTAAATGAATGGTCTTAGGTCTTGATTGCAGCCTTTATTGTTCATGAAACATGCATTACTACATTTGGTCAAAATTTGTATGATCTTGGTGACAGCTGAATTCTCCTGTTTTTTTGGCTGCTTTCCTTTTGCAGTGTGTGGACCTAAGCTGCAATGAACTAAGTGAAGTCACATTGCCTGAAAACCTGCCTCCAAAACTGCAGGAGCTGGACCTGACTGGAAATCCCAGATTAGCCCTGGATCACAAAACCCTAGAGCTTCTGAAGTAAGTTACCTTACGGAGTGGGGAAGGAGAAGAACAATTCTAGATGCACAAACCACAATACATGGAAGTGGAATCTCTTTTAAGGAATATGGTTCTCTGTTGCTAGTGGATCAGAAAGTAACAGATTGTATGAATAGGTCAGAAATTGATGCTTCAATGAAGAGGATAACTTTACCTATTTTGGAGCAATTGCTTTCAGCTGTAACTCCTGGAGGGGTCTGCTATAACCATTGTTTGGCCAGTTTGATTCCATTTTATTTCTGACATTAGATTCAGCCAAAAGATATATTTTATACCACTGATGAGATGCCAGTAAGATGCTTGCTGTATCTTTTTGTTGCATTCATCCTGCTTGGGTCTGTCTTTGCCACTGTGATTGTGATAATTTTTACCTCTTGACATACTGTTTCTTGTTCCCCTTAATATCTCTCTGCTTCTGTGCTAGAAATTATATATAATTTTTTTAATATTTAAACTGCTAACTCACATCTCTCACTCTATTTGCAGAAGAACTGGTTCCTTTGCTTTGGGACCATCAGTTTCCTTCCTGTCAACCTGTTTATTTCCTGCCCTGGGATTTAAGTGTCATCCATAACTGATATTTCTCTAAGTGCTTTGTCCCTTCTTCTGTAGTGTGATGAGGAGCTGTTGCAGTAAACCAGCTAAACTGTGGTGTGCTGCCTTGACCTTTCTTTATGTCCTGTAGGAAACTGCACCAGCTCCAAGGTTCCTTCTAAATCTCTTTTATTCTTAGACATTGAATGGTTCCAAGGAGGATTGATTTACTTTTTAGGGGCTGAGCAGTAGCTTCATGTTCTTTGCTTTTAAATAGTTAAGATCAGACACTGGAGTAGTAACCCTCATCTCCTGTGCAAACAAGGGAAATTTACAGTGTGAGTTCACTTTTAGCTTGAATTAACAGATTTTCAAAATATAGGTGGAAATTTGACTAATGATGATTTCTCACAGATAAAAACAAGAGTCCATGTTCAGCCAGTGAAAAAAGGGGTATGACTCTATTTTGAGAGTAGCTCTGTTGCATACAGGAAATCTTCCTGAAGAAGCAGTGTTTAATACTGCTCTGGCTCATAGGGGAAAAGATATATATGTTTTATAGAGTTAATGAATGGTGTCAAAACTTAGTGAAAGTTCATCATTCATAGTGAATAATCCAGTAGACAAGATGGGCACACATTCCCTTGCTACATTAGTATTTAGGCAACATTGTACATCCTTGTACAAATCTAGATTCCAAGTAGTTGAAGAATAATGTGGCCCAGTTATATGCCATATTTTCACTGGCATATTTGTGCTCCTTAACTCACAGGAAACTTTCCCCTCTTGCATGTGCATTTTCCTTGCTATTTGTTTTGGCCTTGACAGTGCAGGTGGGTTGTTTTTTTTTTTTTTTTTTGGTTGGTTGGGGTTTTTTTTATTTGAGGGTGGGGCTTTTTTGTTTGTTTTGGGGGGATGTATGTGTTTTGTTTGTGATTTTTTGGTTGGTTCTTTTTGTTGTTGTGGGGTTTGTTGGGTTGGGTTTTTTTTTAGTTTTGGGTTTTTTTAAAAATTAATTATTTTTAAAATCACAGGTCTGTTCTGTTCACTAGTGTTCATTAGGCACAATCAGGTGTTTCAGGCCTCCTGAGGGGTTTCTCAGTGTCTGATATGCTACCCTTCCTTTTATGGTATACTGCTATAATTGACTGTGAGGGAGGAGGTGCTTCTTTCACTTGATTTTTGTGGCAGGCACAAAAATACTTGTGCACTTGGTACTTTTTATATCTTCCTTCTGCATGTGAAAGGCAGCTCTCCATCTGTGCCCTGGCAGAATTCAAGCAGGTAGTAGGTTAATATGTATTCTCGGTGCTGGTGAGAAGAGTCCTGTCATGCATGCTTGCTTTTCTAGTATGTATGGAGATCTTAAAGGAAGTTTGTATACTTGGGAGGATGTTGCCAAGTGATTTATTGGATGCAAGTATTTTCATTATCTATTAAAACGAAAAAGAAGAAGGGAAAAAAAAAAAAAAGATGCTGTTACTCTGATTTTGAAGAGAGAGCATTTGTTCAATTGTAACAGTCATTTTAAATTAAGGGGGATATAAGCCAGGCTATCCAAAAGTCTTAGCCTGTATTGCCTGCATAGAATGTTCTGTTGGGTATTATTCCCTTCAGGACACATGTCTGTTTGTACTGGTGCCCCTAGGGAGGCAGTGTGTTGAGGTAGCTTTTTTTTTTTTTTCCTCACCACTTCTGGGAAGTCTTCAGACAACTCTGGGTCCTTGACCTGCCCAGGAGCCAGTGGTCAGTCAACACAGTTAAAAAAGAAACAAACAGAAACTTTAGTGACCCAAGTTCCTCTGCCCTGGAGATAAATGCCCTGTATGAGAAGTCTGCAAAGAAAGCATGTTTGCTCACGTGTGTCCTGCTTTGCAGGTGCAACAGAATTAAAATCTCTGCTACTTTAGAAGAGATCCAGGTTTCCAATTTGATTTGGGATTAGTTAAACTTTTTTAATAGTCATAGCAAGATGTTTGCCTTCTATTTGTCACACAGAGGGCTGCAAAACCAAAAACTTAAAACACAAGTGGTTCCAACATTATTTATGTAATTTGTTGGCTTTTAGTCTGCCCTCACTGATGTACATTCTGGCTATTAATGTAAAACAGAAATCACTGGATGTGACAGTATGTCAGGTTATTTGAGGAAGGCTTTGCAATGCAGAAAAGACTTTCCTGTGTGTTCAGGTCAGGTGGGGATTTAGAGGAAAAACGAATGCTCAGAGTGAACAGTTAGACCTTTCTGCTTGTGTCCTTTTATGTTTCATTTGGTTCATGAAAGGTTTGGGTGCCTTTGAAGTGTCTGCAGCATGTGGGGAGCTTGCTTTTCCTGCCTTTGGAAGACAGCAGTAGGGAGCAGAGGGTAGGTCATCTCTCTCCAGCAAAGCAGGGCTGTGAAGAGTATAAACAGAGAGGGCTGGGCCCTTTTTAAGTCTTTAGTATGCTCCGGGAGATACTTGAAATTCAGCCTAAAGGCTATGTTGGTAGTAAATTGGAGGGTAGAGGATCAAGGGCCTTTGTGAAAATTGGACTGCACAATTGGGGAATGCAGAAGGGCTATGCCTGCTGTCAGGGCCAAAGGCTTGCTCTTGCAGGTTGGTGCAGGATGAGTATGGAGCTGATTTCTGTTTTGTGGGTGTTTTCATGAAAGGGTGTTACTACACGCTGTTGTTTCTAAACAGTTATTTTAATTATTTTTTTTTCCATTTAGAGAATGCTGCGGGTCATACAGGAGATTTCATTTAAGTACAATGAAAAGAACACAGAAACCTGTTAAAATGGCCAGGAGAGATGTATAAGTTTAAAAAGTCACTTTGCTGTACTGGCTTTCATCAAACTTGTGGCAAATTCGCTTTGTATTCCTGCAGGGCCTGGTTTGAACCAAATAGCTCAAGGGTGGAAGGCAGGGAGATAGAGGCCAGCTAAGCAAAGTAGTGCAGCTGACAGCCTCATAGAGTCTCAGTTATTGTTGGCTGTATACGGGCACATAAAGGTAACCACTTTGGATGTCCTGCTTTATTTTCTACTATTAAATGTGTTACTAAGAACTGGAAGAGAAAAAAAGGGTGTTCTTTCCACATTTTAAGTTGGATCATGTCAGCAAGTCCACCCATTGCATGTCTCTCCTTTCTCCTCGCAGCAATATCCGGTGCTTCAAGATCGACCAGCCCTCGGCCGGCGATGCGTCGGGAGCGCCGGCGGTGTGGAGTCACGGCTACACGGAGGCGTCCGGCGTTAAGAACAAGTACGGCCTGGCTCGGGTTTTGCTGTGTGAGCGCCTCTGTGCCGAGACAAAGAGATCCTTTCCTCGGTGGAAGTTCTGGGGACGTTTCAGGGCTCGCAGAGGCCAAGCCACGTCTCTCCATTTGTGTACCCAGCTCTCCTGCCTGGCTCTCCCCTTGGGTCTTTGTTAGGGAAGTTGCTAAGATACAAGGGTAGCCGACACATTTGGTCTGTGCAAGACTGCTACTTGCAAAAGATCTGAGTGTTTAAAAGCATTTTCCTCTTTGCAAAGCTTCTTTATCTTCAACCAAAGGATGTTTACCAAGCAAATCAGAGATACTGAAGAGGAGACAGAATGGGAAAAACTCTGAATATTCATAGTGTGTGGTGCTCCTGTGACTAAGGCAGCACTTGACAAATAATTTACCAAGAGTCTGCTAGTCTCTGTGTCGCTGGCAATGTGATGAATCTTTCTTTGTTCCTCAAATACCTTTTTAGAAATCTTCTGCTACCTAGGTTTCCGTAGCAAGTGCCAGCAAGCCTTTCCTAACTCTTAACTGATTTAAGGCACAACTTGGTCATCAGCATGCTAGATCCCAAGGATGCCTTTTCAAGCAGCAAGTGCAGTTTAAATTTGTGGTGTTTCAGAGATACTTTCCCTCCCGTTTTTACAAGTAAGAGACTTGCTCATGTGCTGAAAAGGAGGAAGTATCCTTAGGCCTTGGCTTAAACTTCCAGTATAGTTCTCTCCATGTCTTTAGTACTGTTGATGGGCCTCATCCCCACAGCTCACAAAGCAGTCCCGAAACACCTGTGACCAGAGGTGTTTAAAGCTGGTGCTCAGACCAGACTGCATGGTCTGACTCTGGTCAAAATGTCAAGTTGAGAAACTAGTAGTGGGATAGATCCCCTGATGTTTTCCTGCTTTGTTTTTTTCCCCTAGGCTGTGTGTGGCGGCACTTTCGGCGAACAACTTCTGTGACAACCGGGAGGCGCTTTATGGTGTGTTTGATGGGGACCGCAATGTGGAAGTGCCCTATCTGCTGCAGTGCACCATGAGTGACATCCTGGCAGAAGAGCTGCAGAAAACAAAGAATGAAGAGGAATACATGATCAACACTTTCATCGTTATGCAGAGGTGAGTCTTGGATCTGGAGCTTTTTTTACCTTGTCTGTGTTTATAGTGCAGTTTCTTTGCTTTTGGGTCAGGCACCTGCTCTTGCTTCAAAGAAATTGGGGCTGGGGGGAAAGCCTTGGTATCTGGCTACAGTGTTTTCTTTTATTGCTTGTTTTGTGAATATTGCCTCAGTTCCTTTCAGGTGTGGGGAGAAAAACCCCAACACCTCTCCAACCAAACAAAAAAATCCCAACCCACCTGCAGAGTTACTAAAATGCTCATGACTAAGTGGTGGGTGAAGGTTTATTCCTTTTTGCTATCTTCTCCAAGTCTTAAGGTTTACAATTGGCCATAACCAAGTCAGTGGTATGAATGTCTCAATCATCTTTTCAAACTTCCTTGCTACAGCTGCCTGCAAAGCCTGGACTCATCCTTTCAGTTTCTGTGTACCAATTCAGGTTATTTAAGGCTACACAAATATTTAAAACACGTGGTCTGACTTCTTAGAAATCCCTTTGGCCTTTGAATATTATTTGAGTATGACCCATCCAGAGAGCTTGTGATACAAAAGCTGTGAGTGTAATTGTAGTTCTGCATAGTGGTTTGTAAATTGTGTGTGCTGTTCTGGACAGGAGAAGAAATTGTGCCTAGGGAGGCACTGGGTGAAGGAGGAGTATGAGGGGAATTGAACAGAGGAGAATGAAGAGGTCAGGGAAACAGGGGAAAGCAAATAAGCAGCTTAGAGACTGAGTAAGTGGATCAAATTAAAAGTAGCATTGGTTATTGTTGAATTGCACTCTTGGAAAGGAAAAATACTGAAGTTGTTGTATTGGGAAAGATAGGGAAGCAGTAGGGTGGCATTGAGTCTTATAAACACAAGGGAGAAAACACTTCCTTCCCATAATTGCTTATAACAGTGCCTCAGACTGCTAACTGAGAAGGTGGTTGCCATATACTTAAAATACTCAAAAATAATAACAATTTTGAGTACTTGAAAGTACTTACTGAGTGGTTTTGTTTGCTACTAATGCAATTTACGAGGAATGTGGCATTCCTACAAAAAGCTCCTCTTTATTTTTTTCAATTTTGGTCTCAAATCAAAATCAGCTGACCACTTCTTTGGAGAACCAGAAATAGTACTCATTCCAGTTGCATTTAGCCATTCAGTGACGCTTACAGATAATATGCAACACTCCTAGAGTGTATTTGTAAAAAATAATGTAGAAAGCACATTGAGGCTTGGTTGCAAATTTAATTGTCCATTCTGTGGACATCCCAGGATTTTGAATCTAAAGTTCTTATTAGCTATATCTAGCCTTAATATAAATATTAATAATTAGCTTTCTAATTACTATAGGAGTAAGATCCTCATAAACAAGCTGGCTGGGAAGGATGAGTGTTTCTTCACAGTCTAATATTGAAATTAATTTATATTTTAATGGCAGGCTTCTGAAAACTTGGATTTTATCCATAGATTTTTTTTTTCTACTGTGGCTTCTGCTGAAAAAGCAGGCTTAAACATTTCTAACAACTTTTTTAATGGGTTAGTACCTGACAGCATACATGAAAAATGTACTTTCTTATAGTGGAATTCACAGCCACTGTGATTTTTTTTGGTCATAATTTGTAACTTATAAGAGCATTATCCTGAAGATATCACCTCTGCCTTCTGCTTTTGCTCAAAAGTAGAGGTTTTTTACAGTCAGAATTATTATTTTTATAATAAGATACTTAGCTTCAGAAGCCAAAGTTTATCTGACCTTTAAAACAAATATCTATTAGATGTAAAGGAAAAGACAATTGTGAAACTCTTAGAAGTGCAAAGATTTATTTTTTTATTTTTTTTTAACTGAGCATTTTTGAGTATCTGCATATGTGAAAATAACACCCTGCCTGAGAGTTGCATGTGGGATCCCTGCAGTGCTGCTGCTGCAGTGTCACAGTCTTCAGTGGAGACCTTTGTTTCTGTCCCAGTGATCCAGTAGAGCCAGTGCCCCGAATGCTTCTGATTGTGGAACAGCGGCTGTTTCTCCCTAGTGCCCCTTATACTTGTTTTCCAATTAAAGAACAATCACTGTTTTGTTTAAATTCCAGGAAACTTGGAACAGCTGGACAGAAACTTGGAGGCTCTGCTGTCCTTTGCCATATAAAACATGATCCCATGGACCCTGGTGGATGCTTCACGCTAACCTCAGCAAACGTGGGGAAGTGCCAAACCGTTCTCTGCCGGAATGGGAAACCTCTGCCTTTGTCCAGGTGTTACGTGATGAGCTGTGAAGAAGAGCTGAAGAGGATTAAGCAGCATAAGGCCATTATCACAGAGGTTAGAGAACAGCTGGGGATTGTTGCAACTTGCAGCTTCTTTGAAGAGCATTTGCACAGCAGTGCATGAAATTAATTACATGTTGATATCAGAAACCTCTAGAAGGTGGTGTTCATAGTGTAGGTTCCTCAGTTGTACTTTTCCTTTCATGTTGATTCATACATTCATACTGTGCAGTCAAGTTGCTTTTCCATTCCATTGCCATGCTGGATTTTGATTAGCTTTCAAGAGTGAGCAGCTGTGAGCACGTTGCATTGAAACAGGAAAGCAGATACTCTCCTAATGGGAGAGGAATTGCTGTGTTGGAACTGTCATGGAGAGCTTTTCCAATTAAAAAGGATGAGAGGGCAGAGCACTTGGAGCAATGCCTTCCTTCCCTTAGGAGACTCCTTGCTCCTGGCAGGCTGACTTCGCTGTCTGAGCTATGTTCCCAGAACTGCCCTTTGACAGGCTGCTCTTGAAGAGAGCACTTGCCCAAAAGGAAAACTCACCCTGTGCTCAGCTGAACCATGAGAGACGAGAAAACTATTTGTTCCTTTCTTAAGAAGCTTGAAGCCACTGCTGTCAGTTTTGCTTTGCCTTGTGTAACACATGCAGAGGAATAGATAAATATCGAATCCTCCTAATGGTGGAGGAAAGGGCAGAAACCTCCCTGCTGTGTGCCTGAGAGCAGGGTGGGCTTCTGTGTGTGGGGTAAGCCATGTGCCTGTTGATCTTGCCTGGGGAGATCAAATGTGATCAAATGAAGATCTTGGCTGGGATCTCAAATGTGACAAGTTGAACGGGAATCACTCCAACATAGTGTGCATCATGGAGACACGTTCATTCTGTGGCTCCATAGAGGAAAAGGGAAATTTCTGGGCTGAATCTTCAGATGACTCACTGATTTCATGCACACTGATGGCTTATCACTGCTGTCAGCTTTCTAATGGGAAAGTTAACAAGCAGACATGGGGGCTTTTTTTCTTCTGTGTGATTGTAAAGAGGAAGCTTTTTTAGTCTTGGTTCACTTTTCTGTGGTTATCTGCTTTATAATAACCCCTACAGTTATTAGGTGGACCCAAAGAGTGTAAATCCTTACCTTTTCTGTTCTTCTTGAATACGCAATTAGCAGGGTGCAGCTATCCCCAGCAGGCTGACAGATAGCCAGACTTGCTGTTTCAGACACTTGCTCTGCTTATTCTGGCAGCTTGGATTTTAACCAGGACAGGATTCTGGGATTTGGACGTGCATGGGATTCTTTTCTCAAATGTGTCCTTTTTTACTGATGTTATCCCTTCAGATACTACTCCTCCTCCCTTTGGAAATGTCATATCTAAGTGGAAATGTAGTAAGTAATTGGGGCGTGTAAAACATTTCACTACAACTCAGCTGACTGAGAAATGCAGACTTGCTCTCTGCTACATTTGACTTGCATGCTTAATTTAAAGGTTTTTTTTTTAAATGAACCTTGGTTTCTAAAGTGATGAGCCAAGATGAAACCTACAATTATTACAGCTGCAAGAGAAGACTTGTAACTGAATGACCTGCCCCTGTATCAAATGTGTGTTGCCTTGCTCTGTCTAAAGCCAGATACCGTGGGTGGAGGAGGGATAAGTCTGACTCATTGGTTAAAGATTTGTCCAGTTGGCTCTTGCAGCTGCAGGAGCAGAATAGATGGCTCTTTGTTGCAGCCTTCTGCTTTGTTGGTCTGTGCATAGGTGGTGCTGATGACAAATCAGTCGGGTGTAGGAGGCACAGTGCAGGATTGCAAACCAGCTCTTGCTGTGCTCTAATCTCAGCTCTGCCACCTCCTTGCAAGTCACTTTGCTTGTCTGTCTCCTTGTCTGTGAATGGCAGTGTTGGGGGTGCTGCAAAAACAACCATCAGTATAATACAAGGAGAGAAAGGTCCTGTACATACTTGTCTATCTTGTTGCCAATTTCCTGTCCTTTCTAATTTCAGGATGGCAAAGTGAATGGTGTGACAGATTCAACAAGAATCTTGGGGTACACCTTCCTTCACCCAAGTGTTGTGCCACGTCCTCATGTCCAGTCCATCACCTTAACTCCACAAGATGAGTTCTTCATTCTGGGGAGCAAGGGGCTGTGGGACAGCCTCTCGATGGATGAAGCAGTTGAGGCCGTCAGAAACGTGCCTGATGCGCTGGCGGCCGCCAAGAAGCTTTGCACTTTGGCCCAGAGTTACGGCTGCAACGACAGCATCAGCGCTGTCGTGGTTCAGCTCAACGTGACGGAGGACAGCTTCTGCTGCTGTGAGCTCAACGGGGTCCCACCCCCCAGCCCAGGCATCTTCCCCCAGTCTGTCAACGTGGTCATCAAGGACAGGCCCACCGACGCGCTCGGGATGCCGTCTTCGAGCAGCGGCATGGCTTCGGAAATCAGCAGCGAGATCTCCACCTCGGAAATGAGCAGCGAGGTGGGGTCCACAGCCTCGGACGAGCCTCCCCAGGTGGCCATGAACGAGAACAGCCCGGCGTACCCGGGGGAGCAGCGCTGCATGCTGCACCCCGTCTGCCTGTCCAACTCCTTCCAGCGGCAGCTCTCCAGCGCCACCTTCTCCAGCGCCTTCTCCGACAACGGCCTTGACAGCGACGATGAGGAGCCCATCGAGGGCGTGTTCACCAACGGCAGCCGCGTGGAGGTGGAGGTGGACATCCACTGCAGCCGAGCGAAGGAGAAGCAGCTTCTCCAAGTGCCAGTGGAAGCCAGTGACGAAGGTATCGTCATCAGTGCCAATGAAGATGAGCCTGGCCTTCCCAGGAAAGCTGAATATTCTGCCATGGGCACAATAGGGCGCCGGCGAGGCAACGGCTCTGTGGCACCACACGAGAGGAGCCATAACTTAATTGAAGTTGCAACGGATGCGCCACTCAGAAAAACCGGGGGCTACTTTGCTGCTCCAGCGCAACCTGATCCTGATGACCAGTTCATCATCCCACCAGAGCTCGAAGAAGAAGTCAAGGAGATCATGAAGCAACACCAGGAACAGCAACAGCAGCAGCAGCAGCAGAGGCAGTATCCGATGGACCACCTGGCAGACTATTACGACACACCACTATGACCCACTCTAGTTACTGCTCAGAAATAAACTAACTAATAAGGAGACTTGACTGTGAGACCCAGCGGGCTTGCATTACAGCAGGGGTTTTCCTTATCCTTTTCCTTTATATACTTCCTTTTCATTATCCTGCCACTACAGATAACTGCAGCTTTTCAGTTTGTTAGGTTTAATATTCATTGACTTTCTTCTAGAGACGCTTGACTGGTAAAGTTTAAAATAGTTAACCCTCCCTTAACATATCAAGTGTAAAAACAGGAAAACAAAACAAAACAAAAAAAATAAAAAAAAATATAAAAAGGTTTAATATATTGCTGAGAAACAGATGATGATGTAATATTTTTTAAAATGGCTTGTTTGTTTTGTTCGAAAAGCAGGGCAGTAGCCAGTGCTAAATGATTTAAGTAATATTGTAATACTGTATTTCTTTGAGAGAAAAGGCTTTTTTTGGTCTTGAAAATGATAGACATTTGTAGAATATGGAGACTAACTCCTAGGAGTTGCTTTACTCTTTCAGGTGACTTAAGTCACTGAGATTCACTAATTTTCTCTGAGAGAACAGTTGATTGGGAAATTCCTGTAAATAGCTCAGTGTTGTATAGTGATGCTTACATGTTTTGTAGCCTTGGCATTAAGGACACAACCTGAAAAACTGACCTTTTTTCTTAAGTGACTCTTTGGGCCATGGTCATTAAGCGTAATGGACTGTGTGGCTGTGTACAAGTTAGCTAGAGCCCAGGTGGTGTAGACTGTTCAAAGAAACCCACTTTTTCCTCCGGTCTCTTTCTTTCCTTACTTTTACAGACACGTTTTGTTTGTGTTCCTTACTGCTGCCACAACCAGCATGATTGTATAGAGCTCATTTGCTGTAGAACATTTACATACCAAGAGTTATATTAAAGCCGAATGCACAAATGAACATGTCATAATTTTTGTTATAATAAATATGAAATTTACACCTGATGTCTGCTTTTATGTCTGACTAGCTGAGCAGCAGCTCTCAAACAGCAACTTGCTGTGGTTCCTCAGCTTGCTGCTCAGTTAAACCAAGAAGTGTTGAAACTTTTGTCAGCTCGATCACATTTTTACACTAACTGCAGAAGCTCACTTGTACTTTCAGAATTCAAAGGTTGTGCGAAGTGGCCTTTAAAAGATACAAACCAACTCTCTGAGGAATTGACCTCTTCCTTTTTTTCTTTCTCGGTACTAATTCAGCACTATTGATTTGCCCTTTGCCACAATATTGACAATGCCTGAAGACTGAAGAGGAGCGGTGTGCTCTGGCTCTGTCCCACTGGGATTGAGTGACTGAAGATAGAAATGATGAAGGGATAACAAAAGGTAGAAGGAAAGCATTGGATACTGAAAGAAGAGAGAAAATATGAGGAGAAGGCAGAAAAGTGAATTTTAAACTACCTATGTAAATTTGCTCCAATGTGCTGCATGAACATGAGTTCGATGGCAATCAGACTTTGGTAGCAAAGGGGCGTCTTTGTAATTCCTGTGGGAAAGGAGCAATGTCCTCTTTCAGTATTGCCCCCAGCCAACTGCTCCATTTTACTACTCACTCTTTAAAAGCTGAATTAGTGTGCAGTCATGACAGTGTCTTGTTTCTTGGCATTTGGTCTGTATTTGGGAAGAGGACTGTGGTGACAGGCTGTTGTCCTTATTCTGTTCTAGGGTGAAAAAGCCAAGTTAGAACAGGATTGCTGTTAACAGAAGATTTTTAGTTACTTTTCCTTAATAACAATAACAATGGAGGAGCAAATATTAAAATATCTGGTTTGATAAATGTTTATAGCACTGTCTACTGTAGATCTAGAAGATTGTATTTCATTGTAATTTGAGCTTCAAAATATCTCTTTCTTAAAAAAACTCATTAAATAATGTATTTAAACAAAAAAGGTTTATGGTTTATTGGTCAGTAATTCTTAGGTGTTCTTTGGTAAACAGTTTGTCTGTTTCAGATTTTGCTGAATTCATTCATTGTCCTTGGAAAACGTTCTCTTTTTTTTCCCTTCTGCTCCTATGCTGCTTGAGGCTGAAGGTGATAACTAGCAAGGACACTACCTTTATTTTCTTGCTGCTGGTGGAGGAGTAACCTTGCTGCTGCTGTCTGTGGTCTCTGTGCTAAGGTGTCTCTGCTGTGCTGTACATGGGGTACCCCAGAGAGAGGAGCAGGGGGCAGAATAGGGGTGGAAGGGGAACCTTCATGTGAGCTAAACTGGCTCAGTGCTGACAACTGCTACTCCTCTCAGGTGAGTAGGAGGATATGCTCAAAGGCTCTGTAAAGACTTTCTCTTTCCTCCATTTGAAGGACAGGCTCCGAAGAACTTGCCAGCCCCTGTGGCATTCACTGCTTACAGGCAACATAGTGGTTTCCCTCCTTGTGCCCTTACTTTGAAGCGTATATGGTCAAAACTGACAGCCCACTGAAGGCTGCCCCTTTCAGCCTGGTGCCTTCTGTAAAGTTACCAGCAGCATCCTGGAGTCAGGGCTTCTGTGGCAGCAGGGTGACAGGATTTTGGTGGAGGAACTGTACTTTTGGGTTTTTGCTCTGCCTTGAAAAAGATGGCTGTGATAGTAGTCTGTCTTAGAAAGTCATAATGTGAAGGATTGATGCATTCATAGGGGGCAACTTCATCCCTCTGCTGGGCTTTGTGTATGTGTCAGCCTAGTCTGGTAGGCTGGATGGCTTGCTGCATGTTTGTAAATGGCATTTATTTTTAAACAAGGGCAAAAGGTATTTTGTCCTGGCTATAAACTGGGACTTGGGAAACAAGATACAGTGTCTGCAACTCATGGTTTTTTCTGGATATTGCCATCCTCTTTCACAAAAGGGGGTTAGTCTGTTCTTACCTCATGAGGATTGATTGCATCTCACTGATTGCATCTACATGTGCTAATAGTGCACATGATTTTTGGATTATGTTCACTGTATTTTGCACAGTTTTGACCTACTGGGAACTCTGACTCAAAGAGATGTGGATTTTATTTGCAGAACTTGACAGCTGTAGCAGGGACAATGGTTGGGAGTTAAAAAGAAGGCTTTTCACCAAGGAAAATGCAGAACCCCATTACCTTTATGAACAAACCTTGCATGTCCTTTGAAACTTGCTGATAGTTGCATCTAAGACAAGCAGAAATGCATGAAAAGGAGGAGGTAGATGGCTGATGACAGAGAAATGAACATCATTTACATTATTTCCTGGAAGGTAATTTTAAACAGAAGGTTGTGGTACTATTGAGAAGTAACTGAGTGGCTTCTGTGCTTGTGAACGTGAGCCTTTTGTTAAAAGCCATAAAAGCTTTTTTCTTGCTTTCTGCTCACAGTGCTCTACAGTAATGCATTTTGTTGTGCCAGAATAGCCTGTTGGCATCTTGCCTGTGCATTCATGTGTGGCACCACCATCTCCGTGATGGTGACCAGTGCCATGGTGGCATCGCCTTCCTCTTGCCTTACTGGCCTTGGAGTATGCCACTGCATCCATGTGGGTTGTCTCCCTCACAGCCACAGAATGTGCTGCTACTGTAGTGCCCTGTAAGTCTTGCTTCAAGTAATCTCTTCATAGCAAGCTCGGCTTCATCACCAGCCCTCGTGTTTAAAACTCATACACGTAATTTTCCAGCAAATGGCATGGGCTTTTTTTAAGCGTAACTTTGCTACTTTGGAAGCACGTCTGTGTGGGGCTGGGTGTTAATGGAATGTCACACTTGGTTCTGAAGATAATTTCTGCATCTGCACTAGTCATGGATGGTGCCTCTTGGGTGCAGCCTTGCAGGTCTGGACTTGCAAATGTGCGCTTGAGTGGGTTGGTTAAGGATAACCCTGTGAAGGGTGTGCTGGTCTGAAGGGCAGGAGGGCTTGAAATCAATTCAAGCAGAGCAGTAGGATTCAAAGGAGTGAAAAGAACAGTAACTTCAGCCTGATCCGCCTGATTTCCCTGGACGCTGCCAGCCCTTACTGGAGAGATGCGCCTTTTCCAAGAGGAGAAGGCTCTCAAGCCAAACAGTTCTCAGCCGCGCTGTTGGGTCAGGTCCCTCAGAGCTTTGGCTGCAGCGGGGAGCTATATGGCCAGAAAGTGGTAAAAATACCCTTTGGGCTCAGCTGGAACCAGGACAGTCTTGGCGTCTGTTAAATGACTGTTGACTTTTCTCTGTTAACCTGCTTTACTGCCCTGCTTTGTTAGTTCGATTGTCTTGTTTGGGGCTAATGTCTGCTATTGTTGCGGTAATTGCTTTGTCTTACAGATTTGTTACCTGTGCTTGCACTGAGGGTTTCATGGGGTGCTGCATGAACCAATCTGTTTTCTCTTGATTGCTTGCATTTTGCTGTGCCTTACACTGATGCTCTAAGTGTTCAAATGCCCTGCCTAAAAAGACTGCTGCTTCTGTGGAAAGCTGAAAGTTAAAATTTTTCTGCTGCCTGAGAGCAAGTAACTCTTGCAGCCATTTTAATCAAAAGGTGGGGATGTAAAACCCCCAAGTATTAGGTAGATTAACCGCAGCCCCAGGGCAGAATCAGTATACCATTTATCTAGGACATCAGCGTGGAAAGAGTTCCTTGTTTGCTCTAAGTCCCTGGTTTAAATGATTGGTCCCTGCTTTTGTCCAGACCATTTTATTTGTATTTCCATTCCTGTTGAGGTCAACAGTTCATCCTTTAGATCATCGTTTCTCGGGCTGACAAGTTTGGATTCACCTGCGGTTGACTTGGATACCTCGTCCTACCTTTTATCTTATGCCATGAGCTAAGCTTGCCCTCTAGGCTGAGACTGAGGCAGGATCTGAACGAGGCAGACGCTATCTCATCTTTTTCCATGTTTTTTTAATATTGTAAGCTAAAGGGAGACACTTAAACTGCAAGAGCTCATCAGAAGCATGACGGCATGAGGAAGCTGTTGTATAATAACTGCAGTGTGACAGAGACCTGGGACAGGCAGGACTGGTCTGCTCCCAGGAGCAGGTGATCTGCTGAGACTTTCTGCTGTAGGAGAGTCAGG